GTTTACAGCTGGCACCAATTTTCTTACATCGACGAATCACATAAGAAATTGCCCCCCTGACTAGGACAAGGAGCATTGTAGCTCATGAACCTCCCCTGAAAATCCATTTTTAGGGATGGTTCCATTAAGAAAACAGCCCATGTGTCGTTTTATTAAGAGAAACGCATCTGGAAATGCCATTTCCAGGGTCAGTCTTATTAAGAGAACAACCCTTAGAAATTGGATGTCGTTTCTAATGGCGGTCCTCTTCAATATATAATCCTCCTTTGATTTGATGTAGTAGCAAAAATATACAACTCTACACATTGTTGTCATCTCAATAATAGAGTTGTCGTCACTATCCAATTTTTAACAGATTGATCAAGAGTCATGGCAATAGATTGTCACTACCGGTAACAATATCCACCTCTAAATTTGGTGCCTAGATTAGAATGAACAGGTGAAAGTGAGAGATTCAAAAAGGCTTGGTTGCAAAGGGACAAAAGTAGATAGAAAAAAAATAACCAAAGGGACAAGACCAGATAGAGAAACTAACAATAACCACCTCTAAATTGGGTGCCTAGATATTGAATGAATATAGTATGATATCTAATATGTTTTCTGCAATGTTAAGCACGTGAAAATGAGAAATTTCGACAAAGCTTGGTTGCAAAGGGGTAAAAGTAGATAGAAAAAAAAACAAAAAGATGGTGGTCTACCAGAGAGGGCATATGGGCCCTAGTGGACTAGAGTGCGGTGGCTTGTTACCACTACACAACTTGGAATGGGCAGGCCACCAGACCCAAATGTTAAGCACATGAAAATGAGAAATTTCGACGAAGCTTGGTTGCAAAGGGATAAAAGTAGATAGAAAAAAGCAAAAAGATGGTAGTCTACCAGAGAGGGCATATGGGCCCTAGTGGACTAGAGTGCGGTGGCTTGTTACCACTACATAACTTGGAATGGGCAGGCCACCAGACCAAAGCCTATCCACCACAATCGGCATCCACAACACCTTAATACCTCCCATGGGTTACAAGCAATCGTGAGCGAGGGGTCGAGGATTGACTATTTAAGGTGGGGTTGTGCTCTATAAACAAGCAGTGCGGTACTATAAGCACCAACTATATATGTCCATGTAGCCCGCAGTCCGACGGCACGGGCCGAAGCATGTTTTTTTTTGCCTGGCTCAAGCACGGCACGGCCCGGTATTGTGTGGGCCAAGGCCGGCATGGCCCGATGCACAGGGCCGTTTCTAGGCCGCACCCCAAACACGTGGGCTAGCACGGCACGGCCCGCAAAATAGATTCGGCCCGGTGACAGCCCGATGTTTTTTCCCAAGGCAGGCTTTCTACTTCCGAACAAGCCAACATGATCGGTTCTAAGGCCCAATGCCATATGGCCCAATACATATACAGCTTCCTCATACAGCAGCCACAAATCGATGCCTCGCTCGTGCGTTGACGCCGCTTCACCTCTCCTTCGCGAGTCGCGACTCCGCCCAAATCGGCCGCCGCTTCCTACCTCGCCTCCTCCGTCGCACCATCGACCACCACCCCGCCACCTCTACCTCGCCTTGTCGGCCGCAAGCTCCTCCCCGAGGTCCGCGCGACGCCCTATTGCTCGTTGCCATGGCGCCATCTCCAGCAGTCTGCCCTCCCCGCTCGTCTCCTTCCCTCCTTCCCTTCTCCCCGCGAATCTCCGGCATGGGCGACGCCACAGCCCCGCCGTTGGAGCGCGCTGCGCGCGGATCTAATGCCCACCGCCACCAACGCGCCCTCGACCTCGAGCGCCACCATCCTCTCTTCCCTTGCTCAATCGGGCCTCGGGCTGGCATGGACTCCTCGACAGGCAGTACTTTTCGAGCTAGCCCGGCCCAAAAATCGGTGCAGCAGGCCGTGCCTAGGCCGCTGGATAGGCACGAGGCCTGCTTGGGCACGGCCTGGGAGGCATGACATGCCGTGCCGGCCCGACCCCCACCGGGCCATGCTTTCATCGGGCCCAGGCCGTGTCGTGCCAGGCCGCCCGATGGACATCTATAGCACCAACATACACTGTTGTGCATGGCTGCATGCCAGCTGCCTCTTGGCAAAGCTTGTTGCCGAATGAGCTAGCTGTGAACTGTGGGTGAAGGTGAGGAGAGAGTGAGCCTTTTCTGTGATTTGGTCGCCTTGGGCCTTCGTTTGCAACGCATATTGCCATAGCAAATGCTTTTGGGCCGCTTTCTCAGAAAAAAAAAGTCGCTACGGCCATGAGCGGTGTAGACATGACCTAGTGAATCCAGGTTGTTCATGAGCTTGCAATAAAAACAGAAAATAATTTGGGGGCAAGAATGAAAGACAATGATGGATAAGGCTATATGCTCCAAATTAAAGGCTCAAGGGTTTGTCTATTCTGTATTTGGGTGAAAACATTCCCCTTCACACCTGATTTTTTTTCTTTCTTTTCCTTTTATATTCTTCCTATACTAAATAGTATGTATAGAAGGGAATAAGCGTGCATAGAAGGGAAGATTCGGGTGAAAGCCTTGTCTCCCATAGCTCAATTTTAATTACATTCAATTTATGCTAGAATTTATGATCAACTTGTACTAGAGTTATTTTGATTATTTTCATATAGTTTTTTAGCAGAGTTGGAGTAAATAAAATTCGGATATGAGAAAGGAATACCTTATCCGATTTGTACAACGTCTTTAATCTGAATGTGGAACTCCTCTAAAACACCTGAATTTTTCTTCTAATGACGTGCTCATGAAAATCGGGTGTAGGACGGACCTTTTCCCGGGGAGTGATATAGCAAAACTATTTTGAATTTCTTACTAACTTAGATAATTTCAATCTGTAACTAGGGTCTAGGGAAAGAGGTGGACATTTTTATGAAATTAAACAAAAAAGAATCAAGACTACTTGTCCATGCTCATCCTGAGAAGAGAAGGGATATCAATTAAGACCTTATTTGGATGTAGTCAGATTTGCATTGATCCACATGTGTTAGGATGGATTGGAGTGGAACTTAAACTAAATTCCACCTCAGTCCATTGCAACACATGTGGATTCAAGTGAATCTGACAACATCCAAACAAGACCTAATGTGGGAATTCTGCATGAGGAATGGCCATCGTAGGTAAGGGAAGAAATCTTCAAAAATCAAGGAAACAAACAAATAACAAATCGAAGTGACAAAGACGTTGCTAGATTGCACCCACCAGCTCCTTGCCGTTTCACAAAAAATGGCAATCATGTATCTTAGATGTGCAATAAGACCTTAAAAAACATATCAAAACATTTTAGGAAGGAAAAAGTCCAAACTACTCCTTCCAAATTTGGCATATGTCCAGGTAACCCCAAAACTAACATTTGATTCTATTTACACTCTCCAACTATTTTAGTTGGTCTAGTTTACCCCTTAATAGGAGGGTTTGTTATTTTTGTTTCTCCATGTATAAGTTGAGTTTTAATATCAAACAATATGTGAGGTGATAGATGACATCATAAGTTATGTTAGAAAAATATATCTTACTTTTTCACCACAATTTTGATAGCTTAGGAAATTTAGTAATAAATTAACGCTAGAGATACAATGTCATAGAAAACATAATGATGAAAAATTCATAATGTGTCTTTCCAACACAAAATATGATCTCCTCTATCAACTCACAAAATTTGAAATTAAAACACAATTTTACATAGAGAAACAAAATGAAAAATCTTTTTAAGGTGTAAATTTTTCATTTTGTTTCTCTATGTGCAAATTGTGTTTAAGGTGTAAATTGATGGGCATACGTACTCTGCAACTATGGATTGAGAGCTCATGACGAGAGAGGCGTATTCCTACCCCAAGTCTCCCACCGCCATGGCCAACCCGGCCGCCACGGCCACCAACCACTCCCCAACCCCACGCCCGGTTGCCACTCCGGTGCTGGCGTCCACCCAGCCGCCATGGAGTTCGGTTCTCCCTCTCGCCGTTCCTGGGCCGATGAGGTCGAGGAGACCGACTCGCTGCCTCACTCTTCATCGCCACCCCTCAACGCCAACGATGAGCCTTTCGTCCCAGGCGTCGCCGCCGCTGTTTTCGTGGTTCAGCCGGGGGGAGAGACTCTGCTTCTCCGACTCCGAGGCCTCTCTTGGTTCTGCGGCCCCCTCACCGGCCAGCGTCGCTGAGGTTGGGGAGATCCGGGAGCGTCGTAGGCGACCACGGCGCCGGCGTCGTCATCGATGCCGCGCTGCGCAGGATGCCTCCGCTCACCAGGCTGCCACGGCCTCTCCTCCGCCCATGGCCAGCCGTGTGCTCATCATGGGTCCACCCGCCGAGCTTTTGGTTTGCAGCCGGACGACGACGGCCGTGAGGTTCACTGCCGCTTGGCGTTGGCGCCGCAAGCCATCGCCTACCCTTTGCAAGGCTAGTTCATCAATCTGGTTGGCCTTTGCTTCAACTACCTCACGTGATGACCACATCCGCGAATGACGTCGTTTCCCTCATGGCTGCCGTGCATTGCCGCCAAGAGGGCCATCGAGCGCTTCGCCCGATGGCCACCTTTTGTCACCGGGGCCAAGCGAGGCCGCCGCCGAGCATTGCTCGTCGTGCCCCGCCGAGGCGCCGTTCCCCTAAGCGCCGGAGCCGCCTCGAGATGACACGGTCTCGGCCCGCTCTGTGTCCGCGGCCGCTTCGCCGTCGATACCACATTGTTGTGCGCCTCCCAGACCCTTATAGCCGTGGATCAGCCGGCCTCGCTTGATGCTATCGTTGCACCGGCGCGCGCCGCGGTGGCTTTAGGGGGCCTCGCTCGACCACACTAAGCGACCGGCGCGTCGCAGCCCAGCGCCCGCCGAATGGGGGCGATGAGTCGCGACGCGTCTCGCAGCTCCAACGTGGCGCCGGCGGCGCCTTTCACCTGTTCAACGCCCGGCGGTTGAGTTGGTCATAAATCGCGCGCTGCGCGGAGATTCAAGCCGCGGAGGACGCCTTTGTCGCTCGCTCTGGTGGCCTTGGTTGGCGGTACCAGCCGCCCGGTGACCCCCGCTATGGTGCGCAAGCACCTTCGTGACCAGTTCAACATCGAGGACGACGCGATGTCAGTTCTGCGGCACGCCCTAGAGGAGTTCATCTTTCATTTCCGCAGTCGGGATGACCTCGAGCGCGTCCTCAACTCTAGGCCACCACCGGTGGCAGCTTCGCCGTTCGTGTTGCTCTGGCAACGCTGGTCTCGCCTTTCATCGGCGATGGTCGGTGCATTCACCTACAAGGTCCTGGTTGGGATTAAGGGCGTTCCTGCCCATGCCCTCAGCGAGGATGTGGCTGCGCACCTCCTTGGGTCTTCTTGCACCCAGGTCGAGATTGCCACGGCCGATGCTGACGGGGTTGACGACGACGATGCGCGTGAACTATTCGTTGCTGCCAGGTGCCTTCACCCGCTCTTGGTGCCAGAGCAGAAGCTCCTTGTCATCCCAGAACTGCAGGAGCCGCATGACCCGGGCATTCTGTTTCTCCGGGAACACGAGATCATTCACTCCAAGCTGCCCATCCCGCATTACCTCGCTCGGATGCGTGTCGTCGAATATCAGGATTGGGACCCTTCAAGCTCCTCTGATGATGGTGGCTTCCCGGGCGCTGACGACTATGACGACTGCGGTGATAGTAATTACAATGGATATCATCCTGGTCTGGAGGATGGCCCGTCGCGTACTCGGCCGTTTGGCTCGGCCACCTTCTGCCCGGGTGGGAGGGACGGCCCGTCGCTGGGGCGTGGCTCCGGTCCGGCATTTTGGCCGCGATGCCATGCCGCCGGAGTTGCGGACGACGTACGCGCATGCATAGGTGGTTCAGGGTGGGTCCCTCATCCGCAAGGGCTTCTGCATGAGGGCCAATCGTGGCTCGGGGGCAGGGCATGGTCCTGGTGCGGGATGCGTCGCTTCGGTGCTGGTCCTCGGGTGCGCGAGATAGCGGATGTCGCGTCGCCGCGGAAGCAAGACCGAGAAAAGTCTGCAACTATTGTTGTTGGTGCTCAGATGTTAGGCACGCCTACAGGCGATGGCAGCCCTGACGCGCGGTCATTGGTTTGGGAAGTTGACTTCTAGGCCAGGGATGCAGACAACCCCATTCACCTTGGGGTACAGGAGGATCCGATGCTGATTGAGTCCGGGATTGTGACGAGGCCTTCTGTGATGGCTTGCCATGGGTCGTTCTCTTCGCCGGAGCTGGCACCTGTGCGTCTGGCCCAACCCATGTTGGCGAGTCGTTTTATTGCTGATCACTTCGATTGCAGCCAGGCGTTGGCGTGGGTACCAGTGGGCTCCTTGCCTTCGTTGGGCTGAAGATGCCGACGCCCGAAAGCGGGGCGATCACAGCCAGGCGTTCGCGTGGGTAGCGATGGGCTCCTTGCCTTGCTTGGGCGGATGATGCCGACGCGATTCGAAAGCAGGACGTCGTTGCGACTGTCGCGTCACGGCTACCCCGCAGACAAATCCGGGCATGTCGCCTGGGCGGGACTACTACACCCGCCGTCGTCGATACTACTCCCCCGCCGAACAAGCAGAGCGCGTGCGTGGGAGGCAGAGCAGCGAAGCCGCCATTCGAGAAAGAGCTCGAGGACATGATCTGCGCCCTTGCAGTCCCCCCTCATTCGTAGCAGGTCACGCCTTCGTCGTTCCCGCACATCGATCTCCGTTCGGCTCCTCGCGCGCCGCGGCGGCTTTGCGGCAAAGCCGCGGGCGGCGAACGCCACCGTGCAAGCACAGATTGTGCTACTTAAGAAGCTTGGGGTGCATGTGGATACCAGCGCACACTGCACTGGAGATCGAGCGGAAGTTCAAGGCCACGCCCGTGGGGGCAACATGTCGGCCAACAAGCAAGCGTAATCGCAGATCCTTTTAACAGCGACTTGACCCAATGGCCATGGGCCTTGACATGGCTGAGTTGGACGCTGTTGAGACGTAGTCTCCGGCGTCCCATGTTTCTACTTGTCGCAACTGTTTCTTTTATGTCGCCCTTGCCCACATAAGCCGTTCGGAACGTGCGCGGACTAAACGGTCGCGCACGCCACAATGTCGTGAGGGAATTCTTGGTCCAGGAAAGGGCCACCCTCGTCTGTATCCAGGAGACAAATATCTCCGTCATGTGTAACTCCATAGCTAATGAAACGCTAGGAACCGCCTTCGACTATGACTATGTCCCAGCGATCGGTGTGTCTAGTGGCATCCTGCTAGGGTGGAACACGAATATGTGGGCCGTGAGCGAGGTCGCCAAAGGGCGCTTCTCGATATCGGCCAAGATCGCCAAAACAGGGTCATCAAATACACCGTGGTGGATCACGGTTGTTTACGGCCCACAGCCTGACTACGAGAAGGTGGAATTTCTCGATGAATTGCTCTCCTTCCGTGATGTTCACCCTGGACCTTGGTTCCTGTGTGGCGATTTCAATATGATTTACCGTGCGCAAGACAAGAACAATGGACGGCTTGATCATCGCTGCATGAGGCACTTCAGGGCGTTCCTCGACCGAGCGCACCTGGAAGAGCTGCACCTGATCGGCCGGAGGTTCACGTGGACGAGTGAGCGGGAACGTTCAACGCTGGAGCTTCTAGATCGGATGTTCGCGTTGATTGACTGGTTTGAGGCGTTCCCAAACCATGTTCTCAAGCCCCTATCATCTGATTGCTCGGACCACTGCCCGCTGCTACTACAGATGCATGCGTTGCGGGGACGAAGCGGCGCTCCGGTTCGAATCCTTCTGGACTAAGTTGCCCGGTTTTCTTGACACCGTGGTGGCTGCTTGGACGCCAACGCCCAGGGACACTGACCCTTTTCGGATGCTGGACTACAAGTTCCGGAACGTGGCAAAGGTTGTGCGAGCTTGGAGCAGTACCAAGATTGGCAGCGTCCGCCCACAGCTTTGCGATGGCGCGGGAGGTGATTCTGTCGTTGGATGAGGCCCAAGAAAACAGACAGCTAGCGCAGTGGGAGAGTGACCTGCGCAAAACCCTCAAGTTGAGGGTACTGGGGCTTGCGTCCTTGGCGCGCACAATCGCCAGGCAGTGATCGAGGATTCTGTTCCTGGCTGAAGGTGATGCAAACACCAAGTTCTATCATCTACAGGCCTGCCATCGCAGCCGCAAAAGCGGGATCGATTCATTGCATGTCCAGGGGGGCGAAGTGGTCACTGATGCGGCAATGGCCGACGCACTGTTTGAGTACTTCAATAGCATCATTGGCGCTAATTTTGAGCGCTCCAGAAACATTAACTTGGCGGCCATTGGGGTACCAGCCATGGAGCTCTCGTCCCTGGAGGCCTTATTCACCGAGGAAGAGGTTCGATCCGTCATTGTTGAGCTGCCAAGTGACAAGGCACCAGGTCCGGACGGATTCACTGGCCTGTTCTACAAGAAGACTTGGGAAATTATCAAGGACGACATCTTAATTGCTTTGAACGCGTTCTGGTCCAGAGATCGAAGAAGCTTTAATCACCTCAATGACGCCTTCATGATACTGTTGAGGAAGAAAGATCACCCGCTGGAGATCAGAGACTACTGGCCCATGAGCCTCATACACAGTTTCGGTAAATTGGTGACTAAGTGCCTTGCCAAGCGACTGGCGCCCATGTTGGATGATTTGGTGATGAAAAATCAGAGCGCGTTCATCAGGGGCAGGCGCATACATGACAATTTTCGTCAAGTTCAGCTTGCGTGCAAGGCCATCGATGCTCGACGCACGCCGGCGGTTCTGCTAAAAATAGACATTGCCAAAGCCTTCAATACAGTGTCATGGGCATTCCTTCTGGACGTGTTGCGTCACATGGGTTTCGGGCAGCGGTGGCGGGACTGGATATCCGCCATCCTGTCTACATCCAGCACCAAAATCCTCCTCAACGGCTGGCCGGGGAGGAGAATCTGCCATGCGAGTGGTCTCCGGCAGGGTGATCCCCTCTCTCCGATGCGTCCTTGTCATGGAAGTACTCAATCGCTTCCTGCGCTGGGTCGAAGGGCAGCACCTCCTGTCACCGTTGCGCTGCATCGACGGTGCATGGGTCAGTCTATACGCCGACGACCTCAATGCACGTGATCTGCAATTGGTGAAGGCGACGCTATCTATCTTCGGATTGGCATCCGGCCTCTTCTCAAACCTCGGCAAGAGTGTTGCATGCCCGCTGCATTGTAGCGAGGCTGACGTCGCAAGAGTGCAGGACATCCTGTCATGTCGGATAGAGGGTTCCCCCTGCTGCTACTTGGGGGTGCCACTATTGATCCGCAAGCTCAGGAGATCGGACGAGCAGCCGCTCATCGACAAGGTGGCTGCCCGTATACCCACATGGAAAGGGAAGCTGCTCAATATCGCAGGTCGGACAGCGTTGGTGAAGGCGACCATGTCGGCCATCCCGGTGCACATGTCGATTGCCCTCTGCCTATCCCCGTGGGCGCTCGATTCGATTGACAAGCTTCGTCGAGCTTTCCTTTGGTGTGCCTCAGATACCGTTGGCGGAGGCAAGTGCAAGGTCGCTTGGGAGATTGTCTGCCGCCCGAAGGACTTAGGTGGCCTGGGCGTCTCTGACTTACGGCGTACCGGCATCGCCTTGAGGGTTCGCTGGGAGTGGCAGGCTAGGGCGGATGGTCGCTGCCGCCACACATCATCAGAACGTGCAGTGCGGGCTGTGTTTCAAGTAGCTACTGTGTTGTCCCTAGGAAACGGGGAGTCGACCCTGTTCTGGACTGACAAATGGTTGAATGGTTCGACCATCAAGGACATTGCGCCGGCGATCTTTGCATCTGTGCGCGCCAGGAAGCGGAGAGCAACTGTGGCAGAGGCGCTCAACAACCACAACTGGATACGTCATATCATTGGACCTTTGACGATGTAGGTGCTTCTGGAGTTCGACCACCTTTGTGACTTGCTTGAGAACGTACATCTATCCGACGTGCCAGACACTTTCTCTTGGTCGCTCATGGCAGATCGTGCCTACACAGCCGCATTGGCTTATGGTGCGATGTTCTTGGGCTCATCGATGCCGCTCGGCGCCAAACAAATTTGGAAGACCTCTGCCCCACCGAGGGTGCGTTTCTTCTTCTGGTTGGTCATGCATGGACGATGTTGGACGGCCGAGCGGAGGTTTCGGCATGGATTGCAATACTCCGCCACTTGCATTATCTGCGATCAAGGAATTGAGACGATGGAACACATCTTGCTTGGCTGTTGCTTCAGCCGAGAAGTTTGGGATCATTGGCTCAGGAAGCTTCATCTTCAGGAAGTTATTGTCGTACAGGAGGAGCCGGTTATGCAGTGGTGGCTGCGTTGCAGAAAACTGGTCCCTAAGGCCGCTCGTCGTGGTTTCGACTCCCTCTTCTTTCTCATCGGATGGTTGATTTGGAAGGAGAGAAACGCGAGGACTTTCGGCAGGGATACTACGTCGCCGGCAGGGCTGCAGGTGGTCATTCAGGAGGAGATACACGCCTGGTGCTTGGCTGGCTACAAGCACCTAAGGACCCTGATGGCGGCGACTTGATCCCAGAGTAGCTCTTCTTTGTCGCAAAATTCATGATTGTGTAATCACACTCGCGTGCTATGCTCTGCTTGTGTAGCTTCTAGCTTCGGTAACTATGGATTACCGTGGCCATAAGGATTGTAACAAAACTCCTTTCTGCTTAATGAAAAACGTGCTTCGGCACGATCGCTAAAAAAAAGGTGTAAATTGGACCAATTGAAATAGTTGGAGGAGGTAAATTGAACTAAAATGTTAGCTTAGGGATTATCTAGACATAGACCAAATTTGAGAGGAGTAATTTGGACTTTTTCCTTCTAGAACACAGTGACGTGTTTTGCACTGTAGCCCCTACGAAAATACAAGAAACTGCAAACCATAGACGACCCTTTGCGCTTGGCACTATGTCTCTTCCCCTGCCACCATTGTTGCCAAGCCGTCGCCGTCGCCGTCGCTGGCGTGCCGACCCTGCTGGATCAGGAGCGAGTTCCTGCACGTCGGGCAAGACGGGTGCGTGGCCAGCCACTGATCGATGCACTGCACGCGTGGAAGCCGTGGTGGCACCTCGGGAGCACGCGCACCCTCTCGCCGTCGTAGAACTCGCCGAGGCAACTCGCACAGTCGGTCGCCGACGCGCCGGGCTTGGCCTCGTACACCACCACGGGTATCCTCCTCAGCTCCCTCTTCTTCAGCCCGGTACCAGTGGTTGGACCACCGGCAGCCGTAGCGGTGGCGGCGGCAGGTGCAGGTGGTGCCACGGTGAGGGCGGTGCGGCCGAAGTCGAGCACGAGGCAGTAATGAATGAGGGAGTTCAGGCCGAGCGCGCAAACGAGGACGCAGAGCAGCGCGGCGAGGATGATGACCATGTCGGCGTCGAAGCCAGCGTCGCTCCCAGCTGCTCCGGCCGCTGGCTGCAGCTGGGCCTCGCCGACCATCCCCGCCGCCGCCGCTGGCGTGACGAGCAGCGGCGGCGCCGATAATGCGTCGGCGCCGACGGTGGGGCGGCTGTCGTTGAGCACGCGCATGGCGATGATAGCGCGCACGCCCCTGTGTGATGCACGGTGGTGTGTCTCGCTAGGAGTCCCTGCACCTGAGGTTTTGCACGGATCATACTGAAACACGTTACGTTGCAGGCGTCTGTCTGCTTTTGCAGCAGGGTCATCTATGCGTGTCACGTCGTTTTGCCTTGCATCGCATGCAACCGCGAAAGTGACATCGAAAGCGTCTGGAGTTGCATCTCTCTCTCTCTCGTATTAGGAGCTTTGTGCCTTCCGTGTAAGCAACGCTAAGGAAGCGTGGTCGGCAGTCACACCACTGGCTACTGTCGTTGTTTGTACTACTTGCCCAACAAAAGGCTATTGGATCGATCGTTCGTGCTACTGAAAGAGAGGGCACCTCTTCCCCAAAACACCCAACAAAACATGGAAGCAGTTGCAAACACTTTCCTAGCTACTCATACAATTCCTCCATCGTTCTCTCTTAATCTTTTGATACACTTCCAGCAATCTATATCTCTTATAAAGCTAATCCCCACTACAAGTATGTCAACATGCAAGACATCCACGTCATCCTCTAGTAACTGTCCACATCATCTCTCACTAATTACCATGTCATTCCACTAATTTCTAACCTTTTAATTGCAAGCTATGCACATGCATCATCTCCACTCAATTTCATTCCAAATTCTTTGCAATTCCCGCGGCAACGAGCGGGGCATCTTCTAGATATTATATATATGCAGGTATAGATGGCTAGATATGGGCCAGGCCTAACAGATGGCACGACACGACCTGATTCAGCATGGCTTGATGGCTAGTGCTGTGCTTAATTGGGCTGCAACCTCGGCCCATAGTGCCGGCACGAGCATAACCCATTTTATTTTGCATACCATTCCATCTAATAGAAGCCCTAGATATATAAGAATCACTCTCTATCCTAGTCATCTATCTTTCTTTGTTTTTTCCCCTTTCCATTCCCTCGGCCGCCACCATCCAGGAAACATGCAGCTCGCATGGCGGCCCGCTCGCGCGGCAACCAGCGCTGGAGGCTAGCTCACGCAGCGGCCCTGGCAGCGGACCGGTGGCCTAGCTAGCTCGCTTAGAGGTGGCGACGCGGCATTCCCGTCAGCTTCGTCGAAGGTGGCGGCTGACCTCTTCGATCTCCTCTCTTCATCCATTCTCTGATTTGTGATTTGTGATTGTATCTGATTGATTTGTGACATGCACATGAATTTCATGATGGATCTATGAATATGTAAAAGATTTTGTAGTCTTATGTTTTTTATTGATTCATTCGGACATGTTTTGATTTAATGGGTCAGCACGATCCATTGGGCTTAATGGGCCAACACAGCACGCTTAATCGCACCTAATGCTGTGCTATGGCCCCGTGTTGAGTTTGTCGGGCGGCATGACACGTGCATGGCTCATTAAGTCATCCATGCCTATGGGGCTCAGGCCTAAATGGGCTTGGGCCGTGTTGAGCCGTGTTGCCCATTTGGCCATATATATCCAGGCATGCATGATGCACTACCTTCTATTCCCTCACAGAGCATGTTTGCCTCTTGTGCATAATAGTATTTCTGTCCAACGCACAAGAGTTTTGCAACCTAGTTCTAATCCTACACTAGCATGACAATTCTACTAATGTAAAGACATGAATATAATTGCACAAATGTAAATGCTTAACATAAAGAGAGATAGGCATGGCGATGTTTTTTCGAGGTATAGGAGAGTCAGCACTCCCCACTAGTCCTCGTTGGAGCACCAATGTAAGGGCATAGCTCCACCATGATCCATGCAAGGACCAAGTGCTCTCTACACACTGATTCTTTGTCACTTTGGCATGGTGAATCACCCACAATCAACCGCTCACAATATCACTTGGGCCTCCCACAATCACCTTCCAATCACTTGACCCAAGAGTAACAAGCACAAACTCTCACTTGACCACAGGAGGAGCATGGATCACCCACAATCTTGGTGATCTTGTTGTCTAGATGATGTCGATCACCAAGAGTAACAAGCACAAACTCTTACTTGACCTAACCAAGCCTAATGAGAAGAGTGGATGCACACTTGCTACTCTCCAAGCATTAATGGAGTCCTTATTCTTGAATTAGCAAATCCAAACCACTCCAATAGGCCAAGCCTCTCTCTTGGACACACAAGGGTGTAGGTGAAACTTCATAATGCCAAGAGAGCCTCAATGCACGAGATGGAGGGGTATTTATAGCCCCAAGCCAAGGAACTATCCCTTGCCCCTCCACTCATAAAAAATGTGAGTACCGGACTTGTATGGTGCATTCATGGTCTTGGCACCGGACATGTCTGGTAGTACGACATGTCCGGTGCACCTGTTCGGTGCACACTGGATAGCACCAGTGGGTGCTGACGCCAAGTCCCATTTGCAACCCTCTCTAGTACAATGGTGTTGTGTGCTGGTCCGGTACACCATTGGACACGTCAAGTGAGTGCAACTGCACTATGCCCGACCACACCCATTCCCAGAGCAGGCTGTTCGGTGCACCATGTCCTGTGAACACCAAACACCAATGTGCTAGTGCCGATTTTTCCTGCCTAAAACATTTTTGAAGATGCTCAAAGCTGTACCGAACACCAAAAATGGACTGGTTTGACAGGTTGGCATCACCAAATAAATGTAGAAGAACCCAACGATCTGTTCAAATGCATAGTAATACGTTTGAAGCAAATCTTTAAAAGAACTCATTAATCAGAGCATTGTGACAACCGCAATCATTATTACCACAACACTAAGAACCACCTAGTCCACACCCCATACAAGAACATAAAAAATTGCAGCATATAGGAAACTAAGCTTAGACTCTACAAGCTAGCCTACTACTGAACAAAATAGACCATGTCCAATGAATAATGATCGACCGAAGGTCATTCCAACCATGCCTCACGATCAAGCACAACATCCAAGCAACCATCCACATGAGCATCCCTAGGGGGCAGGACCTCTAGCATGCTGGACTCCCCTTTACTTGCTCTAGTCATGCTTCTTATTACTGCTGAAGCCGATAAGGCAGGGCTGCTTGCAGTTGATGCACGTGGGGAACTCCTTCTTGCTTACCATGCAATAGCTCCAGCACCATCTACAACCACCAAGCACCAGCGCCAAGATTTCATCCGAGGAAATGTCTAATGACACACATGAGCTAGATGACGACAATTTGTTGTCATTGCCACGGTCAACCTCTATCCTCCCTGTGGGTAGTGCAAGGCGTAGTTGTAGGTCCATCTGTGTGTGCTCCTCGCACTTTTGCCACCGGGGCCGCCATTGTTATCGTTCCTCCACCAGCTCATGGCTGAGCACACACAACAAGACCAAGATTGATATATAGGCACCATTAGATATATCATGTTTGGTGAAACAAAACATGCAACTATGCATGGGAAAGAACACAAATAGATATTTATCACATTAGGCTATGGAAGATCATATGTTAATCGATTACCTGAAGATTTAAAAGATGAAAGACTTGTGCCTTGCCCCTTTGATAATTTTTTCGTTGTGGGGCTTTGAGGGGTGCTAGGGCATCTTATATAGAGGGTCAAGGAGGAAGTCGTCAATGAAGTTATTCACTAGCATTTAATATGCTCATCATCAAAATCAATGCCTGCATGGGGGTGGTTGCATCTCTTGGTTGGAAGTTTGGTAAGGTATCATCTTAATTGTAGTCAAAGAAATATTTTATATTATCAGCCTTGGTAGACATTGTAGACCACCATTATTATTTTTAGTCAAAGTTAGACTAGTTTGGCTGCACAATTTTCGGGATCCCAATACATTTTGACGTATATAGCTACTCCATTTGAAGTAGTAGACAGAAAAATCTTAGTCTGTAAAAGAAATCAATGGCTGATGAGATTTTTATGAAGGAAACCCTTCTTTTATAAAGCAACACAAAATATTAAGTGTTTGGTGATTGGATGCCACTTGTGTGCAAGCCAACTACTACTCAATAACTCCACAAAGCACTACACAAGCTAGAAAGATCCTACCAAATCCAACCACACTTGCAACACAAACAGCTAGTGAGAGAAAACAAGCAGCACCCAGCTGAAAACAAATAGAGCCAACTAAGCTAACAACAAGAAGCTTTGCACATATAACGATAGAGTCTACAACTCTAAGCCAAGATAAAACTATGCTCCCAGTCAAATGAGTCCTTCAACTTCTAAATTCTCTCGAATCCCCATAGGGATGAATTTCTAGGCTAGGTTATTAAAGAAACAAAAAATAATGGGTAAGGGCTTCCTATTGATGATTCAAAACTTCTAAATTCTCGGTTTGTCGCTAGAAATCCTATAGCCACGTCTTCATTATCCCGAGCATGTCTTCCAGAACTTGGCATCTTTCCCTTCAAAAGTATACACCATTTCCATAACATAATGAGCAAAAAACTTGTCTAATTCTTCATTCGATGACCCCAAAAAGACTTTCTATATACTCATTTTATTTCAGTTATTCTATAACATAAAAGATGAATAGCTTAATATGATAGTTATGAGAATGCAAAGCAATCCATCGATCAAAGACTTCCTGAATATGTGTTAGGCATTTATCCCAGCCCAAAGCCTCTTCCAAACACATTCAAACAGTTTTAGCCAAGATACAGTTGAACAATATGTGTTCATTAGTTTCTAGAACCCCACATAGACAACAATTTCTATCACCTTTCCACTTCTTTTTATTCAGATTTACCCTAGTTTGTAGCTTATATTGAATGAGCATCCACATGTAAACTCGGATTTTCATTGGAGCTTTGTTTTTTCTAGAGTTTGATCATCTTCTTGTTCACAACACCTCCAAACATTCGATTCCTATACATAGATCTAGTTCAGTATACCCCAGACTTCTCATAGATCCCTTCCAGAACTGAGACCCATTGCAAAAAGCTCAAACTGTGAGAAATGTTTCCTTCTAAGATACTTCCTCTTCAAAAGGTTATAACGGATTCATTATCATTAGCTTTGAGCATCCTCCACACCCTTGCAATCCGATGCACCACCGGACATGTTCGGTCCTCTCAGTGATCGCATAAACCCCACAAAATCTTCCATATCAAACACCTTTGAGTTTGGTTTAGATTCCAATCATCTTTGGGCTTCATCTGATCTACCTAGCACTAGTTTTCAAAATTGTGCACCACATCCACTCACTATACTCAACTAGGTCAAGCTACCCATTCATACACCATTATAGTATAGCCAAAGAAAAAACAAAATCCTATCACTACTTTAAGTGTCCCTCGGAACCATCGACACTTAGAACTAGTCGATCCTTAATCTTTGCGCTCATCCTTTGAAAAGCAAAATGAATACCATTAATAAGGGGCATGAAAACCAATGATTGCCCATCAACCAATCATCATTGTGACCTCACTAAAGTAATATCGCTGCAAAACACACGTAAGTCACAATGATTGTGTTGTCATTAATCACCAAAACCGAATTAGTGGCCTAGATGCTTTCATTGTGCTTGGTTTGAGTTCCATCGATCCAGAGTGGAGAAGGGGTACTCAATAGCAGGTACCTGAGTCTTGATGACTCAAGGGAAGAAGACCGAGTCTAAGTGACTCTCGGTGCTCCAACATAGATGAGAGGGTAGTAACAAGAACGGCATACAATATTCAGTGTTGTCTCTCTTTGCATTTCTTTTGTTCTTGAATTACTCTCGTTTCTTAGCTTAGCACTATACTTTGCTCCTGTTTGTGTGCATGAATTTGTGTGACAACTAGGTTTTATTCCCCTTGCTAGAGTACGTGTACTTGACTATAGGTTTACTTTCCGTAATTAAGGATCTTTTTCTTAGTATAAACTTTCCTAAGGACATTAGCTTGATGGCCCTAAGGACTCATCAATAGTGTGGTCTTTTTGGTCCTAGGAGCTAATCGTGCAAGTGGGTGAGTAGAATGGCATAGGATAGGCTATTTGCATTTAAATTTTTAGAGCTGGTAGCTTGGCCTAGTATTGAGTCGATCTAGAGTGTTCTGGATGTGCACATTTGAGATGCTATTGCTAGTGTAATGACATAGTGTGCATTATATTGTGTCCATAAGCATTATCATCATTAACATTGTATCATGAAAATTGATATATGCAAAATCTATGTGTTTTTATATGTGTGTAGTTGAAACTAGCAATTTTGTGCATTAACGAATGGTCTGGTTGAGCAGTCAGACAGTCCTACAGATGTTTTGTTGCTCAGTCAGAGTCGTGCTTTGGTAAGGACACCAACACCTGTAGTTTTGTGAGGTGGCCCATTTGCCAGGGCATGTGGCACCAGCACACAACTCCAGTATACATGACAAGCACTCGTTCTCTCTCACTCCCTGCCTTACATACCACCACACCTTTCTCTCTCTCTAGCTAGGAGGAGATCACAAGGAGGGAAGAGAAGGGAAGGAGAAATAGGGGTGGAGGCCAAGGAGGAGATCCCGAGACCTACAACAACCTCTCCATTGCTAGGTTGGAGCTAGGAGAGATCCCACCTCGAGAGCTGGATGAAGAAGAGGATAAGGTGAGAGAGAGAGAGAGGAAATAAATCAAAACAGAAACAAAAAAAGAAAAGAAAGAAGAAAGACAAAGATATTAGGGATATTTCACTCTTTTATCTAGCTATTAGTAGAAGACAAATGTTTTACTAAAAAAAAGATTTAGCTTCAATAACATAACTACTCGTGAAGCCAAAGAAAAAAGAACTGCTCCTCCAGTGAAACAGAGGAGCTCAGGGTGCGCGGGTTCAGCGTCATCTGGCGGCGATGGATGACCACACTACTCAGCACAGCGTCATCAAGAATCCTGCTGAACGGGCGTCAAGGAGATCCAATCCAACACCGCCGGGGAGTGCGTCAAGGGGACTCCCTCTCACCAATGCTCTTCGTCATTACAATGGATGTGCTACACAGGCTGTTCATCAAGGCAAGTGAAGACGGCGTGCTCAGGCAGATGGAACCGGCAGAAATCAAATACCAATGCAGCTTCTACGCCGACGACGTCATATTATTCATCCGACCAACACGTCAAGAGGCCACAGCAGTCAGAGCAATCCTGTAGATCTTTGGACAGGCATCAGGACTGCACACGAACCTGGCCAAATGCTCGATCACACCCATCTTTGGTGGTGAGGACACGCTCCCAGACATCGTCAACATTCTGGGCTGCCAAGTTCAGGACTTCCCAATCAAGTACTTGGGCTTGCCGCTTACCACAAAGAAGATTCCAAGAGCGGGATTCCAATCCATGGTGGAGACGGTCGCCCTCAAACTGCCACCAAGCCACGGCACGCTGATGGCCAGGAGCGGGAGACTCGTTTGGATAAAATCAGTCCTCCGAGCAGTCCCAATATACACGCTGATGGCAGAGAACTTGCCGCCATGGGTGCGCAAGGAGATAGATGGAATATACCACAAATTCCTCTGGGCACGGCATGATGAATCGGTCAGGGGAAAGTGCCTAGTGGCCTGGCCAACAGTTTGCAGGCCAACCGAGCATGGCGGACTCGGCATCAGCGACCTCAAACTAGCCGGCTTTGCACTGCAAACAAGATGGCTTTGGTTACAGAAGGTTGATCAGGACCGAGCATAGAGTCAGTTACCAATCAGCACGGTGCCGGAGGTGCAAGCATTCTTCAAAGCCTCCACGTTCACGGCGCTTGGTGACGGATGACAAGCTTTGTTCTGGGAAGACAGATGGCTTGAGGGGGACGCCATAGCCGACCAGGCACCCTACCTGATCCAGCATGTGCCAGGCAGAATTAGGAATTCCTTGACAGTAAGAGAAGGCCTGATCAACAGAACATGGGTTCGCGACATCACAGGAGCCCTCTCAGTCTCGGCCATTGCTGAATACCTGGAGCTCTGGGACCGGATGCAGTACTTCCAACTGACGGATCAGGCCGATCGCACGGTATGGCGATGGACAGCAGACGGGAAGTACACGGCCAAATCAGCCTACGCAATGCTACACGCCAGATCAACAAAATTCCAAGGACACAGGCTAATCTGGAAAACGTGGGCTCCTTTAAGGGTCAAGATATTCCTGTGGCTCGCGTTCCGCCGGAGACATTGGACGACCGACCGAAGGAGAAGGCACGGACTGGACGCGAGGGACTCCTGCTACCTTAGCGACCAAGAACAAGAGTCAATCGATCACATCCAGCCACATGCCCGTTCACCAAAGTGCTCTGGCACCGCATCGTCCAAGCACTCGGTCGACAAACGCCACAACCTCAACCCACAGTCCGGCGCTGGTGGCGACGCCTACCCATGTTATAAACGATAGGCAATATAAACGACGAATAACAATAGATCGAGCACAGGGGACACGAGATTTTAACATGGAAAACCCTCCCAAGGTGGAAGGAAAAAAAACCATGGGCACCAACCAGCAAATCTTCACTATATTAGGTGAGGTTACAAACGTCGGAGATTTACAACTTAAGGATACCCTAACCTGGGGGCTTTCCCGTATAGAAGTCTATGATGCATCTTTTCCATGAGGGAGGTGGTCCGTATATATAGAGAGGAAAAACCTCACACCCTCGTCTATTAGCAATACGGAACTAATAGATGATGTAGTTCCTCTAAACGCTAATGGGCCGCTTCACTTCGGCCCAAGCTTGAATTTGGATCATAGCTAAACAAACTCCACCTTGAGATAAATTCCTTCTTATAGTATAAAACGAGCCTTCACCCTGAAACGACAAAGAAATATTTCCGGTGCCAAATAGCCTCTTTGGCTAAACAATTATATCAACTAAGCTTGAGCAAAGCTCAAACTTAGCAACAGGAACTGGCTTTGTCAACATATTAGCAGGATTATCATGTGTGCTTATCTTGCATACCTTCAGCTTACCTTACGCGACCACATCGCGAACATAATGGTATTTGACATTAATGTGCTTCGTTCTCTCATGAAACATCTGATCTTTAGTAAGACATATAGCAATTTGACTGTTACAAAATAAATTAATGCAAGAATCATCTCCACAAAGCTCAGCAAACAAACCTTTCAACTAAACTGATTCTTTACATGCTTCAGCAATAGCCATGTATTCTGCTTCAGTGGTAGACATGGTAAACAGCACAACCACCAATAGTGAACACATAACCTGTGAGAGATCTCCTCTTATCCAAATCAACAGCAAAATCTGAATCCACGTAGATAGTGAGTCCCTTATCAGTCATGCCAAACTTCAAACAGGCATTTGTTGTGCCACGAAGGTACCTGAAAATCCACTGAACAACCTTCCAATGTTCTTTACCAGGATTAACCATGTATCTACTAAATAAACTCATAGCATATGATAAATTAGGACGAGAGCAAATCATGGCATACATCAAAGAACCAACAGCACTAGAATATGAAACTCTTGATATGTACTCAAAATCCTCATCCGTACTAGCACATTGTAAAGTTGATAATTTGAAATGAGGAGCAATAGGAGTACTAATAGACTTTGCATCATGCATGTTGAAACGATGAAGAACTTTCTTAATGTAACTTTGCTGACTAAGAAATAACAAACCAGAATTTCTATCTCTTGTAATTTCCATACCTAGAATCTTCTTAGTAGCATCAAGATCCTTCATCTCAAACTCACTACTCAACAGTTTCTTCAACGTAGTGATTTCTTTCTTACTCTTGGCAGCAATCAACATATCATCAACATATAACAGCAAATATATAGGTGATCCATCAACAAATTTAATATACACATAGCTATTAAATTCAGACCTCTTAAAACCATGTGACATCATAAAAGAATCAAACCTTTTATACCATTGACGAGGAGACTGTTTCAAACCATATAATGACCTCTTTAATTTGCAAACATGGTCTTCCTTACCAGGTACTATGAACCCTTCTGGCTGGTCCATGTATATCTCCTCCTCGAGCTCTCCATGTAGAAACGCAGTCTTTACATCTAACTGCTCAAGCTCAAGATCTCGCATAGCAACAATACCGAAAAATATACGAATTGAACTATACTTTACAACTGGAGAGAACACATTATTATAATCAACGCCAGGAATCTGACTAAAACCTTTTGCTACTAACCTTGCCTTAAATCTTGGAGGCTCACTAGGAGGCAAACCCATCTTTCTTTTGAAGATCCATTTGCAACGAACGGCCTTCTTGTGTTTAGGCAAGCGCACAACATCCCATGTGCCATTTTTCTCAAGTGACTGCATCTCTTCTTGCATAGCGAAAATCCACTTCTCGCGGTCACCAGAAACAACAGCTTCAGTGTACGTAGCCGGCTCATGAATGTTCTCAACCTGTTCAGCACAACTAAAGGCATAATGAACAATATCGCATTCCTCAATTAAACGTGGATGAGGTCCACAACTCCTCTTTGTTCTGCGATTTGCAATAAACTGATTTTGAGGTTGTAAAACAGGAGGTGAGTGCTGAACAATATCATGAACATTATTATCAATAATTTCAGTTTCCTGATCATCTACACGCTCTACCTGCACGCTAACATGTTCCTGCTCCTCATCAGAACCAACTAGTGAAACATCTGTGGACAAGCTGTCATTAAACATAACAGATTCATTGAAAACAACGTTCCTGCTCATGAAAGTCTTTTTAGTTTCAGGATTTCATAACTTATATCATTTAACTCCAGAACCATAACCAAGAAACAGACACTTAATGGCTCTAGGTTCTAGCTTTCTATTATCAACATGAGCATAAGCAGTGCAACAAAAAACTCTCAACTGTGAATAATCAGCTGGCATACCAGACCATACTTCAATGGGAGTTTTCTTATTAAGTGGGATAGAAGGTGATCGGTTGATCAAGTAACAGGCGGTGTTAGCAGCCTCAGCCCAAAAACGCCTGTTCATACGAGCATTGGACAGCATACAACGAGCCCTCAAGATGATGGTTCGGTTCATGCGCTCAGCCACACCATTCTGCTGAGAAGTGTATGGGATGGTGTGGTGCCTAACAATGCCTTCTTCCCTACAGTAATCATTAAAAGCATCCGAACAGAATTCATCGCCATTGTCAGTACGAAGCAATTTTACCTTCTTTTTAGTTTGCCTTTCTATCATAACTTTCCACTCTTTAAAAGCAACAAAAGTATCATCTTTATTTTTTAGAAAGTAAGGCCACACTTTTCTAGAGTAATCATCAATAATGGTAAGCATGTAACGAGCACCACCATAAGAGGGCTTACGAGATGGCCCCCATAAATCAGCATGTACATAATCAAGTGTACCTTTGGTGGTATGAACAGATGCATTGAATTTTATCCTCTTGTGCTTACCCAAAACACAGTGCTCACATAACTTCATCTTACCTATAGTGCAGCCATCCAACAGGTCTCTCTTGATCATTTCTGCCATACCAAGTTCACTCATATGCCCAAGACGCATATGCCAGAGATTAGTTTTACTTGGTTCATCATTAGAAACAGTAGCAGCAGTGATGGAACCATGTAAAATACTTCCTCTAAGAACATATAACTTTGTAGAATTCATATCACCTATCATATGAATGAGAGGGCCTTTTGATACCTTACACACTCCATCTGAACCAGAGTGTCTATACCCCTCGGCATCAAGTGTGCTGAGGGAGATGAGATTTCTGGCCATCCCTGGTATGTGTCTCACATCTTTCAGTGTGCGTATCATGCCATCATGCATCTTGATCTGAACAGAGCCAATGCCCACGATCTCACATGGGTTGTAATCTCCCATACACACGACATCTCCACTCTGCACAGACTTGTAAGAACTGAACCAATCTCTGTTAGAGCATATATAAAACGAGCATGCAGAATCAAGTATCCATTCATCACGACCAGCAACACAACCAGCAAAAACAACCAGAACAACTCTTGAATCAGAATTATGAACAGCGGAGACAACAAAGGCCTTACCATCACTATCAGATTTATTTTTCGGTTTATACGTACCGTTTCTTTTCTCCTTATTCTGCAGCTTCCAATAATCCTCAATGACATGAGTATCTTTCTTACAATACCTGCAGAACTTATCCCTGCCTCTGGACTTCAAACGACCTTTACCGTTCTTGCTCTTGTCTCGATTATTGTTGTTGTTGTAGGTTTTCTGCTCGGGCCTGTCTCTAACCTGCAACACTACGCCCTTGGAGGACGACACATCAGACTGAACCATATATTTCATCTTTTCTCTCATCTGGAGGGCCTCATATACTTCCGCAAGGGTTAGTTCATCACGGCTTAATAGTATGGTATCTCTAAAATTTGCAAACAAAGTAGGCAGTGAGCATAATAGTAGAAGAGCTAAATCTTCATCATCATATTTTACCTCCATCGACACTAGGTCGGCAACGATCTCCTTAAAGATCGATAAGTGGTTCATCACCGAACCACCTTCTTGCAGCTTGTGCATGAGCAACTTTATCTTCACGTGCATCTTACTGGTTAGATTCTAGGACATGCAGATCGCGATTCCAGCTTGAGCCAAAGTTCTGCGACAGTTTTCTCCTGCAGCACTTCTTGCAAAATATCATTATGTAGATGAAGTTGAATAAGAGACAGAGCCTTACGATCCTTCCGCTTCTCTTCAGCGGTCCATGACTTCTGCCCTTTTCCTCCGAAACCGCCCAACGCCTCATCAAGATCCGAAGATTGTGCCAGAATCGCCCGCATCTTGACTTGCCACAGTGTAAATCTCGTCTTGTAATCCAGCAGCGGTAGATCAAACTTCATCGATGCCATCGCGAAACCCTAAGGTCAAACCAAGCTCTGGTACCACTTGTTATAAACGATAGACAATATAAACGACGAATAACAGTAGATCAAGCACAGGGGACACGAGATTTTAACGTGGAAAATCCTCCCAAGGTGGAAGGGAAAAAACCACAGGCACCAGCCAACAAATCTTCACTATATCGGGTGAGGTTACAAACGTCGAAGATTTATAACTTGGGGATACCCTAATCTGGGGGTCTTCCCGTATAGAAATATATGATGCATCTTTTCCATGAGGGAGGTGGTCCGTATATATAGGGAGAAAAAATGTCACACCCTCATCTATTAGCAATACGAAACTAATAGATGGTGTAGTTCCTCTTAACGCTAATGGGCCGCTTCGCTTCGACCCAAGCTTGAATTTGGATCATAGTTGAACAACGCACACTCTGGAACGGCGAGCGTCGGGATGGTTTGGACAGTCTGTTCGCTCTTGTCTCCTGGTAGGTTTGGAAAGAGCGCAACACCCGTTGCTTCAGACAAGCACCATCTTCCATGAACGAGCTGCTTCAGATCATCAAGGCTGAAGCTGACCGGTGGATCGAGGCCGGAGCAAAAGGTTTAGCAGCCATAGCGCAAGCCTAGGGGCAGAGATGATTGCATCCAGTTGTATCCCTACAATGTAGCGTTTAACTTTCGCCGGGCCGGCGTCGGCAAACTCTTGTAAATTTGAAACCTCTATCTACTTAATACAACGATACGCATACTCATGCGTATTTGAGAAGAAGAAAAAAACAGTCAAACAGAGTTGTGCAAACGGAGGTGGAAGCCAATTTTTGTAAACTTGATCGCCTCTGTTCATTTAATTTTTTTTAAGCAGTAGAGAACAACCGGAGCCCTGGGAAGCACTCCCAAACGAGCCTTGGTGACGCCATAGGGAAGAGGAGATTATATTGATCCGCCTCCGGCGAGCCGGCCGGCGGCGCAAAAGGTGTGACGCCATTGTGGACGACTGTGGCACTGTGCGCACAAACTAAATTAAGCCCGGCTGCGCCGCAGGTTCCTTCCGGTCGAGCATTCTGCTGCTCATCGAGTCGATAATACGTACGCACACGCGTTCACACACGATTCTAGGAGGGCTGCCTGTACGTACTCCCCCAGTTGCATTTCTTGATCGATAGAGCTGCGGCGCCAATAATGCAGGTTGATCGGAGTGTCCACCAACCAACCGACGTGCAGAGAATTTTCGCTCGCCCCTTGTTCCTCAGCTCTCATCCATGCATGCGTGGAGCCCTGAGTTACTATTCATCAACTTGCATTGTAGTGAGCCCTATATTATATTATATTATATTATATTATATTATATTATATTATATTATATTATATTATATTATATTATATTATATTATATTATATTATATTATATTATATTATATTATATTATATTATATTATATTATATTATATTATATTATATTATATTATATTATATTATATTATATTATATTATACGGGAGAAATTTTCACGGACGGTACACGGTCAAAGCGAGCTGACCGCAGGACGGCTGTCGGCAGGATCGACCACACCCACGCCGCAGATGCAGTGCAACTAGCTGCAGGGCAAACATGTGCGCTTTGTTCAGGAGGGGCTCGTGTACTAGCTCGTCGGAGGCTCGAAGCCTATATATTGTGGACCTGCGGGAGCCATTTTCCTCAAGCAAGAGGTAGCAGCCGTCTAGCGCCCACAGCTTCCTTTTTATTCCTTGCACGAGCTCGAGCTCGCTTCTCCTCCCACGCTCTGCTCTGGTCACCACGTCGAGCCGCCGAGGTCGACGACGCATCACGCATTATGTACCCGTCAGCGCTTCTTCTTATCATGGTGGCCGCCATCGCCGCCCCAGCCTGCGCCACCACCGCCGTTACCACTCCGGCGGCGAGGTTCTGGGAGGAGAACCTCCCGGGCACGCCAATGCCGCCGACCATCGCGGAACTCGTCCAGAAAGGCACCGACCACTCGCCGCTCAAGCAGCCGTCGTCCTCCCCACAAGTGTACCAGCCCGACGCGTGCCTCGGCTACAGCTACCGGATCACCTGCAGCCCGAGCGCGGCCGTAGCGGCGACGGGCGTCTTCTTCCGCCAGGAGAACGTGGCCCTCGGCAGCGTCATGATGGTGCACTTCCCGCCCGTCGACCTGCCGGCCATCCTCCCGCGGGCCGACGCCGAGAAGGCCCCCTTCGACAACGTCAGCGACGTGCTGGCCACGTTCTCCATCGCGTCGGGCTCCTCCAGGGAGTCAAATGTGCGCACGACCATAAGCGCGTGCCAGGCGCCGCCGCTCGCCGGCGAGCGCAAGACCTGCGCCACGTCCCTGGAGGGCGCCGTGCACGCCGCCGCGCGCATGCTGGGTACGAGCGCGGCGAGGCTGTCGGTGGCCGCGTCCGCGGTGACACCGCGCGAGGGCCTGCCGCGGCAGGAGTACGAGGTCGTTGCGGTGGCTCCGCTCGGCGGTGGCCGCCATGTGACTTGTCACGATGACCCGTTCCCGTACGCCGTCTACAGGTGCCACATGGAGAAGGAGGCGTCCACTGAGGCGTACGTGCTCACGCTCCGAGGTCTCCAGTATGGCAGCGGGGCCCCGGTGGTGGTCGACATGGCGGCCGTCTGCCACCTCGACACCTCCAACTGGAGCTCGGCTCACCCGGCGTTCGAAACGCTGAACCTCCGGCCTGGCGGCGCGCCGGTGTGCCACTTCATGCCGTACGCGGATCTGTTGTTCACTGAGAAGGCGGCCAACGCCTAAGCACAGTGCACGATCGACATGCCATCTACTATTTATAAATTTTCTAATCCAAGCACTCTATGTTTTAACAATTAATGGCCACCGAAATAAGTAAAAAACGGTGGTGTATCGCTCGTATGTAAGCTAGAGGTTTGTGTGGTTCCTCTATCTAGCACAACTAAAAATGTTAATGTGTTGTTCTTGTGTAGTCTTGATTGAATAATGTGTAATGTGTTCCATGCAGGTTTGGATAAACCCGTTCCTTAATATTGAACTTCAGCCTCTACTCGCCCCAATCCTAACCCCAAACCAACCTGCAACAGTCTTCTCTATTAACTATTAAGAGCATAGCAGAACCCCCCACCCCTGCGTCGTCCGTACAGGGGCGACATGGGGGCGATACCGCCGCTGCCACCAGACCGCTCCCGGCTGCGCTAGGTCCCCGGCCGCTGCCGCCGCTCTCTGGCTAGCGGCGGCGGCGCCCAACAAGGCCCACCCCGCATCAACTTCCATCCCCGCCCTCCTCTCCTCCCCTTCTTTTTCTCCACGTCGAGCTCTGAAGGGAAGGAGAAATAGGGGTGGAGGCCAAGGAGGAGATCCAGAGACCTACAACAACCTCTCCATTGCTAGGTTGGAGCCAGGAGGGATCCCGCCTCGAGAGCTGGATGAAGAATAGGATAAGGTGAGAGAGAGAGAGAGAGAGAGAGAGAGAGAGAGAGAGAGAGAGAGACAGAGAGAGGAAACAAATCAAAACAGAAAGAAGAAAAGAAAAGAAAGAAGAAAGAGAAAGATATTATGGATATTTCACTCTTTTATCTAGCTTTAGGAGAAGACAAACGTTTTACTAAAAAAAGATTTAGCTTCAATGGCAGAACTACTCGTGAAGCCAAAGAAAAAAGAACTGCTCCTCCAGTGAAACAGAGGTGCTCAGGGCGCGCGGGTTCAGCGTCATCTGGCGGCGATGGATGACCACACTACTCAGCACAGCGTCATCAAGAATCCTGCGGAACGGGCGTCAAGGAGATCCAATCCAACACCGCCGGGGAGTGCGTCAAGGGGACTCCCTCTCACCAATGCTCTTCGTCATTACAATGGATGTGCTACACAGGCTGTTCATCAAGGCAAGTGAAGACGGCGTGCTCCGGCAGATGGAACCGGCAGAAATCAAATATCAATGCAGCTTCTACGCCGACGACGTCATATTATTCATCCGACCAACACGTCAAGAGGCCACAACAGTCAGAGCAATCCTGCAGATCTTTGGACAGGCATCAGGGCTGCACACGAACCTGGCCAAATGCTCGATCACACCCATCTTTGGTGGTGAGGACACGCTCCCAGACATCGTCAACATTCTAGGCTGCCAAGTTCAGGACTTCCCAATCAAGTACTTGGCTTGCCGCTTACCACAAAGAAGATTCCAAGAGCGGGATTCCAATCCATGGTGGAGACGGTCGCCCTCAAACTGCCTCCAAGCCATGGCACGCTGATGGCCAGGTGCGGGAGACTCGTTTGGATAAAATCAGTCCTCCGAGCAGTCCCAATATACACGCTGATGGCAGAAAACTTGCCGCCATGGGTGCGCAAGGAGATAGATGGAATATGCCACAAATTCCTCTGGGCAGGGCATGATGAATCGGTCAGGGGAAAGTGCCTAGTGGCCTGGCCAACAGTTTGCAGGACAACCGAGCTTGGCGGACTCGGCATCAGCGACCTTAAACTAGTCGGCTTTGCACTGCAAACAAGATGGCTTTGGTTACAGAAGGTTGATCAGGACCGGGCATAGAGTCAGTTACCAACCAGCACGGCGCCGGAGGTGCAAGCATTCTTCAAAGCCTCCACGTTCACGGCGCTCGGTGACGGATGACAAGCTTTGTTCTGGGAAGACAGATGGCTGGAGGGGGACGCCATAGCCGACCAGGCACCCTACCTGATCCAGCATGTGACAGGCAGAATCAGGAATTCCTTGACGGTAAGAGAAGGCCTGATCAACAGAACGTGGGTTCGCGGCATCACAGGAGCCCTCTCAGTCTCGGCCATCGCTGAATACCTGGAGCTCTGGGACCGGATGCAGTACTTCCAACTGACTGATCAGGCCGATCGCACGGTATGGCGATGGACAGCAGACGGGAAGTACACGGCTGAAAGGATCTAGGATGCCACCTAAAGTAAAGAAAAGAGGGTGAATAGACGTTTCTGAAAATTAGCACATTTAAATATGAAAACAAATAGAAAATTGAGTTTCCAAA